AAGCAGTGGTATCAACGCAGGAGTACTCATAAAAGAAATAACGTTTGCTTTAAAGTTTCAAATTCAGGGTCGAAAGTTCTGTAAGCGTATGCTTCTGAAGGTTCATTTCAGAGAATAGAGCAACTAAGGAACGAGTAGCTCTAAATGACACGATATCAGCAAACAAGGAAAGGATACCAACTTAGATTCGCTTTGAAGATGTGACACATATATTTGGAATCAGCTATAAACGCTGATTCCAAATGTTGTTCCTAGCTGCTATTCCAAAGCGAATTATGGGACTGCTGTTGTGAATGACTAACAAACTTCTGAATATCGTAAGACGGCGTGTATGTAGCTAAGAATCTGCTCGAAAAAAGTGCTAGAATGTTGAACTAACGTCAGGTTAATTTTTCAATCCTGAAAGGAGCATTATTTGATTGCAAAACTACCCAAACGTCGCCACCTTAGCATCAATAGGTTGAGGAGCACGCAAACTTTGCATAGAAAAGAGACCATAACTTGCTTCAGAATAATAGTAAGCAGCTATGAACAGCATTTCTGGAACCAGCTTTCCGAAATGATTCCAAATACAATACCACCCGTAATTTGTGAAAAAAAATGGCGGCGGCACTTAACTTACGCGGCGCCGCCATTTTTTTTCACAAATTACGGGTGGTATTGTATATGTGTCGCAATCTCAAAAGGCAAACCTAAGGTTAGTATCCTTCCCTTGTAAGAAAATATGAAGCGTCACCGCCTTGACTAGAACATATGCGAAAATCTCTGTCCCAGAGGAAAACTTCGTGTTTTATTTATATTTTTCACATTTCACTCTTGCAGCAAACTGCCTATCACAAAAAAATTATTACCAGCTCTCCTCTATCCCTTATTCATGGCCTTACATCCTCGATTGCCTGCCATGCAACTCTAAAGGATGGAAGCAGTTTGTGAAAGCAAAGATCGAACGAGGTAGAGGTGTGACACTTACCTTCTTGATTGATATAATTGTTTGATCTGGTCTGATGCTCGATAGAGCTTCCCCAACATTGTAAAATCTTCAATTTTGCGGAGCTCACTATTTTCGATGAGGATATTATAATTACTGAGATTCAATAGGTTTCATTCCATGCAACGATGGTCGCCTCTCTGTCATAGCAAATTCGATCTCCGGCTCTACGATGATTCTCTTCTCGACGGCGCTCCAGCTCCTCTTTGATTCATTCGAGCCTTTTTCCAAATTTTGGATGATACACAGGCATTTACCATCTTAATTGGCTTTTCAACTTGTTGTTGTTTAGATAACGGTGTATTGCCATTCACAGCAACTTTTCAGCAGTTAATGGAGATTTGAAATCGAAGTTCTGTATTTTATGAATCGATAGGATGAAAAAAGCTGCGTGCTAGAAAGTCCTATTTTGATTTTTAACGACTAAAAAAAGACCAATGTTAAATTTCGTATTCATGAGTTTGAGTTTGGTTGCAAAAAATACCGTAATGCTGTTAGCTATTCCTTGTGATTTTCTCTCTCTAACAGTAGCCTATATGTTATTGTGGCAGGTGCAGCAAAAACTCCTAAAAATGCTGCACTTTTTCAGATGAATACAGTTTGAGCCAAATAAAAACTAGAAATCTCATGTATTTGACGAAAATGCAGCGATGTGAAAAATCTTCATGCAAAGAAATTTTTTTGGATTTTACCATGCGAGATCAAAGCTTGTCACAGTAACTTTTGACTACGGCCGTGTACGGATTGATTGTAGATTTTTTGGAGCCAGCTAATAAAATTTTGGTTTTTTCTATGAAATTCACAAACTCGCAGGCGCCGTTTGTGGTCTCGTTTCTCCAAATTCAATCAGCAGCAGATTTTATTTCGATGACCATCGTAAAGCTAAAAATTTCGAAAATTATTTATCTTTTCAATTACGAAAGAACTTTTGCATCATGTTTATACGATAAAAATTGTTGAATACTCTCCTGAAATTAATTTTATCTATTGGCGAGAAGCCTGCACTCTTGAACAAATTGAAGCTGTTCGTTATAGTTGACATTGTATTATTTTTGAGAAGCGCTGTTCACCACGAAATTACAATTCCTTGCTTGTATACAAGCTTGCTTGCAGCCAAAGCGTTGCATCTAAGAGATGCGAGACTAGATGCTCGAATAGAGATTCAGGAAGAATTAATAATATAGTGATTATTTCTAGTTATCCGTGCCTATCTCACAATCCAAGAGAACGAGAATAGGAAACTTAAAGCGTGATCCTGTCTAAACTGTTCCCTACTTTTTGTGGCGCTCAAAATGTAACAAAACTGCGGTGCGCTAAAACTCGGAAAGTTATAAAAGAATGTGTACTCTCGAATGTGTGCTCGACACTACACAGCGAAATTAAACAGCTGAGGGAACTTTTTAGCACTTTCACGCTCACCAAGTGCAGCCGAACTGCACAATACATCATGTATTACTATGGGGTGTACTGCTACTGTTTAGTGAATTTTGAAATGCGCGAAAGTCATAATTCGTTTCTATTGTTTCCCTGTGAGTAATTACGGTACAAATGTCCGATCAAGGATTAGAGGTTCTGGTCCTTTTCATCGGAAAATACGATCAAAGATCAAAGGCTTATGCATTGTACCAGAGGCAGGTCTGATTTCATTAGGTTATACAAGATTGTTTAGGATTCTAACTAGGAGAGGACCCAAAATCGAAATCGGCTTAACAAATGAGATTTATATAAATCTGAACAGCATCAACGCTGATTTCAAAACTGTCTTCGTTTCTTGCCACGTACCTCTAGACGCTGTGTCATAAGTGTTTTTTGGAGCAAAAAACGATTGTAGGATCTACATATGTAAAATCAATGTTTATGGTCTTTCCAGCGCTCAAGTAAACATTTTTGAGTACGAGTGGATTAAACAAAATTTTTTTTTATGCAGAGAGTGCTCTAATATTTAACGCTTTGCCATTTGCACAATCCTGGACAAATTTGCCCCAGTTGCGCGTTGAATTTATTGAGCTAAAAAACGCTCATGACTCAGCGTGTAGAGTAGGCTTGGCAGATAACAATGATAGTTTTGTAAGCGTTTGATGCTCTTCCGATTGGTATACATTTCTGAGCCGTTTTCGACTTTGGGTCCTTCCCTTGTATCGTCGATTCGTTGACCGCACGGACTGCATAAACGCTGCGGCCCACGCGCGGCGCGGCTGAATTGTCGCGAGAGCACGGCTTCAGAATGGCGATTTCTGGGGCAAGGGTTTACCTTGCGACGCCTGCTCCGCAGTGATGTCCAGTCCGTGCGGTCAACGAATCAACTATAAGTATATTTTGACATGATATCAGACATGTACTAAATATCATCATCACATAAGGCGCATGATGCGGGGAAACCTGGGTTAAAGGTCAAAAGAAAACCAAGATCCGCCAAAGCTCGATGATTTTGGAGAAGGGTAAGATTATAAAAAATGTTAAAAGTGTCTGATGAGATGTGCGGAAAATATTAGGTGGGTCCGAAAGTTCGTACCGTTTTTTAAATCTAGTCTGAAATCGTTTAGAATGATGGTAAACAAGTCGTTCAAACACTACCCGATGCAGAACTTTTTTCCTTTTCTAACGGCTATGTTTCCGTTGTGACTGTTTCAACAAGCGCTGAGATAGTTTCCGAAAACTAAAACCCTTTTTTTACCATGTCTAACTTTCGCTAATTTTCGGAATTCTCATTCTAGACTTCTAAAGTTGATCTAATAACCATCTGATAAAGCAAGCCTTTTTGCAAATTAATGCAATTTTTTGCATCTCTTTAACACGCTTCCTGGAACCACTAAAATATATTATCTGAAGTGAATAAATTTTATATTTGGCTCATTCTAACCTCGCAAAACATCAGACATTGAACAGTTTATGTACTCGACATCTTTTTCTCCTCTTCTGATGGCTAGCTTTTTCTTCAAGAAACATTCGACTTTTGCAGAGAAAATGGCTGTTTTTCCCAATTTTAGGGGTGCGCAAGGTTGTAGCGAAAATTCCAGAATTTATCCTTCACGCCGTTATCGCTCACTTACTTCGTAATACTAGTG